AAGTTGATAAGGAGGAATTCTGTCGGTTCAATCGAAGAAGGCCACCTGTCTTTATGTAATAATGTAATCTTATCTTCCTAGTAGTATTTAAAGGGATGCCTTCACCCTTGTTGAAGCACTTAGAAATTTTCATATTTTGTTTTTGTTTTCAGTCTCTTGCTTCCCTTGTAATCTCTTCCAACCCCCTGTAAAATATTTTACTTCTTTAATAAAAGTTTGTCTCTAGTATTTACCTATGTATGCCCTCTGTTGATTTATTAGAATCATTATTATCAGCCCAAAGATTTTGGTTACAACAGAAACAATTTTATCTTAGTCTTCCACCAGATTGTTATACCCAACAGTACATATCAGAAAGGCTAGCCACCTGTGAACAGTATCTACATGAGATCCAGGTGCTGATCCAGGAGCATCTGGTGGTGTGGGCAGCCAGAAGGCCTCCACCACCCCAACAGTAAAGGTATTATGAGATCATATATGTCCTAATTTATTTTATTTATGTCATTATTATGTGTGTATTAATTCTTGGGTTTGTGCTTTTGTAAGGTTAATTAAATGTTAGGGTTAGTGGGACGTCACCCAAGTCGCGTAGGGTTTAGGTCGTGTTGCAGAAAGTGCGTAGACCATTTGATGCCCGTAAGTCGTTGACAGACGTGCTAATCTTACCTTTAGTGAGCACCTCTCATGGTATCAGAGCCACGTTTTAATTAACACATAATAAAAATATAAACTTAATAAATTAGACATATATGATCACAATACAATCATGTCCAATCAACAAGAAAATACAGTAGAAATACCAGATCAGGATCTGTAACATCAATAGGAAATACTATTTCCTCTCTAGCCGAAGCTGCTGAATTAGTAGCCTATCAGGATGTCAAGGAAGCCTTAGATAAATGGACTATCCCAACAGTAGATCCAGCAACCATTTACAAGAAAGGAACTTTTAACTTTCTTAGTAAAAAAATAATTAAAACCTTTGAACACGCATCCTGTATTCAGAACAATGATGAAGTCATTCATTTAATTCATATAAATGATTTTATTCCATTTGTTAAACAGTATAAGTACATCCACATAGGTTTAGTACAAATCGCCTTCAAACCTCTGACTCTTCTTGGTCAGAACACCAGCATCCAATGCACCCTACGTGATGGCAGATGCCTTAACTGGCGTGCTTCACTTATGGGCGCTATTGAGACAAGTTTGTCTCATGGACCAGTTTATTTTGACATCTATCCAAATCTTAGTGTTGCCTTGTGTGATACTAACCTTTTTGAAACCTTAGAACTTAGAGTTCTTACTCATGGTTATGAGTATAAACCAGGAACACCTCCCTTTTCAGTTCATTCCAGAATTTGTATTAAGGCTTTAACAACTTTAAATCCTTATGTCAAAAAGAAAACTGAAGCAGGAAAAACAGTATTGATTGAAACAAATCTTTACAGCAGTCAAGTAGCCGTTCCAAAGATCCTCCCTTGGAAGGATATAACTTTTCCTGACAAATGGGAGATTCCCAATGCTGTCCCTCCTAAACCTCTCATCCAGCATAACATAGATGATGTTATCCAGACAGACAGAGGTAATGTCTACCTCCGATTTCAGAAACCTATGCTTACCAGAAGCAATTCTTCTAATGCCAGTTTTAGAACTGCCCCTAGAAGTCTTTCTAATAACAGTTTTAGATCTGTTCCTCCTTACCAAGTGGACTTTCCAGAATCCAGCCGCCAATCTGTAGATAATGCTCCAACCAGAAGACAGATAGAAAATATTCTTCAACAGATACCCTCTAGACCTCCTAGTAGACCACCTAGTGATCCACAGGATGATCCTATGACTTCAGAAATCCAAGGAGTCCGTCTTTCCCAAAACCGAATTCCTCATGGTGTTTATACCGCACCAACACCATCATCAGATAGCCCAACGGCCAGTGATATGAATTTTGACCTTTGATGGATTTTACACCAGGCAGTGAAAATAGAAAAATTCTAAACCAGGAATTTAACCAGAATCAATACAAAGAATTTAGGGATTGGTATTTTACCAATCATACTCCTGAACAGTTAGCCAATTATAAAACTCAATATTATCAACACCTTGGGTTACACCAGAAACTAATACCATTTGTAGAATGGTATACTACAGCTACTCAACCAAAACTCACAGTTATTGAAGATCAGTATAAAGCCTGGACTACTACAGAAGGACAAGTTATCCATTCTATACATCCGCCTCCTCAAGCCTTGGAATTAGTTCCAAATGGCGAAACTACCAGACAACCGTTATCAGCCACTGCATATATAGATGCCCAATCCGGAAAACTTTCCAAAGCCGAAGGATCTTTAGCCAGACAGAATAATTATACCAATCTTATCTGTCAAACCATCAGTAAGCAGTTAACCCGAGTTGAAGAAGCTGTTTCTACCTTTAAGGATAGAACCTTAGCTCTACCTGTCACAGGAGTTTCGACACTCCATCCCGTATCTATTAAACCATCATTAGACATCACTAACTTTAAGTTAAAATCGTCTAATACTGAGTTTATGGACACTCTTTTACAGAAAATGCAGACACTTAATGTCCGCCCTCCAGACCCTCCTAAGCCTCCAGGACAATCTAGCAGTGGATCTATCCACATGCTACGCGCTGAATCCAGCCCTGATCAGAATACTTTATCACCAGAACAAATTCAGGAAATTCAATTGAACTTTCAGGAACCCTCATCTGTAAGCAAGCTAAACTATTACAGTTCCGCTAAACCAGGATTTTTACCCCATACCAGAAACTACTATTCCAGACCTGCTCCTCCAGATATTCTTTATGAAGAAGCTTATCTTAATGAACAAAATAGTTACCATGGTAAAACCATTTATGAATGGAATATTGATGGTGAATCAGAATTTGGCATTTATAAGAAGTTACATCAAATGATGATGTATGCTACTGTTTGTCGCCAATACAGTAATAATGACCAGGCCATTGCTAAGTTTATTATTAATGGCTTTACCGGGGTTCTCAAAGGTTGGTGGGATAGTATTATGACTCCCATCCAACAAACTGAAATATTAACCGCGATCAAATTAGAACTTGACCCGACTACCAATCAGCAAGTACAACAGCCAGATGCTGTCTATACTCTTATCCAGACCATTATTTACCATTTTGTTGGTACCAGTACATCTACTCAGGACCGTGGCCGTGAGCTTCTCCAGAATTTGCGTTGTCCATCCTTAACCCATTTCCGGTGGTACGAGGATGTTTTCCTTCTTAAGGTTATCCACCGCCCTGATGCTAACAGTACTCACTGGAAAGCTAAATTTATTGATGGCCTCCCTATCCTTTTTGCCGAACGAGTTAGGAAAAAACTTCGAGACCGCCATGACCGGATGTCTATTCCTTATGAGCAGTACACATATGGACAACTCTGGTATGGACTGGATTCATATTCATCTTAAAGGGCTATTTTGATAATTTAATTGAAAGTTAAAAAGTTATATATTAATTTTTTTTAATTATATTATTTTTTATTTTTTATACATTTTTTCAAAAAAAAATTAAAAAAATTATTTTTAAACTACTTCTTTAAATAGAGAAATTATAAAATATTTTCAGAATATTACGTGTCCGTACTTCTTTATCAATCATCATTCGATATGTCCCTCATATTTTCTAATCATTCAATACAATATCTCACCTATTCACCTTCTTTATTAATTATAATATTATGAAATATCACGTGTTCATATTTTAAGATTATTGAATAATTATTCCAATTTTCTATGAAATATTTATTTGGAACAACAAAAAAAAAATTGAGAAATTTATTTATAGAATGCTACTATTTAAACTTTAGATATGGTAAAGTTAAGAATCTTAATTTCATAGGTAAATTTGACATATTATGATACTAATCTATATTCGTATTAATGATTTGAATCATTTATTTCATATGACAAGTTGATAAGAATATACATGAAAAAAATTAAGTTAATCAGACATAAGTAATTATATAACCAAATCACATATATGTTTTAACAAATGAATGATCTATTTTTAAAAACAAAAATAATCTATTAGCACGACAATCGTTATTAGATCAATTTAATTTTTTATATGAATAATTTTTTTAATTGATTGTACAAAATTACCTAAGTGAGTCCAAATTATGAATTTAAAATTTTAATCCAACAAAGCCTTGACCACTCTCAAAATAAGTGAACAAGAAATTTGAACCTCACTTTTCCAAGATGGTTAGACTAACCAAGGGTTTTATTATTACCGATACATATCTTTAATTCAAATTGAAAATGCCTCCATTCTAGGCAAAAGAGGGTCACAAATTTTCTTGCGCATAAAGAAGACCAAGATGACAAAGTGGTTTATCATTGACCAAACTACTAATAAGAGTTATTTTCTTTTGTCTTTGCCTTTCAGAGAAGGCCCACTGTAGTGTTTTCAACCAAAAAAAAATTTATAAGGGTTGGTTTAAAAAGTGGGTTGACTTTTTAGTTTTTAAATTTTTTAGTTTTCTTAGTTTGGGTTTAAAAGGTCTCGTTTGGGGTAGATTTTTTAATTTTTTAAACTTTTGTGAGAGAAATAATATAATAATTATGAATTGGATGTGATGTTTTGTCTTATTCGGCTAAAAAGCCCATTTCGTTTTTTTATGGTTAAAATAGCCAAAAAGTCCCAGGCTTTTTCTTCCCAAACGAAGGCAATGATAGGGTGGTAGAGAGGCAATCAAGCTTTGATTTTTGATAAGTCAAGCTTGAGAATAGGTTATTTTAATTAGTTATTTAATTTTTTTACAATATATATATATATATATATATATATGAAAATCAAAAAAAAAAAAAAAATTACATTGCAAATGTAAAGAATGACTTGCACCAAACACAAAATAGACTTTGGCAGGAGGCCAATAATGGTGTACATTTATTTGCCAAGAAAGCTCTTCAAATGGTTTCCCAGATCGAGTTATTAATGACTGCCCACCCATCCATGGTGAAGTCGGTAGAACTTGCACATCATAAAAATGAAATTTTTAAGACTATCTAGTTGCACCCCATGTTAATAAGCTTCTAGACCACTAGCAAACAAAGAAGCAAAGGCTTCAATTTCGTGTTTCTTCAACATTATCCCAATCTGAAGCCCACCATCGCCATCTCTTGATTCTGAAAGAGAGAAGGCTCCATTTTTATCAATTGATGTTATCTCAACCTTCCTTGGTCTCCCCCACCCAAAGTCAGTCTTGTAAAGCTCAAAGCGTGGTGAACCTGCAATGCTAAATACCCTGTCCATGTCTACCGAAGCCAATTCAGACAGCCCGACCTCGTTTAGTAGAAGTCTATCACTCAAACGTCTTATAACTTCACCAATTGCTTTAGCTGCCATGGCCACCCCATCTTCTCCTATTAAATCGTTTGAATCTGCATTTCCGATATAAATAGTAATATGACACGTTATTTTGATAATATTACTTAAGAAAAGAAAAAGAATATAATACTTCATTCTTATCAATTATGCACCTCCTCTTTAAAGGATTTGTGGAGAAAAATAAATTAAGTCGTCTTTTTCACATGCAATAGAAGAGTTTTAAGTAAATTTTTTAATAAAAAAATATAAAAATTAAAAAATTTAATTTTTTTAAAAATCAATCAAAATCAAACAAGTGAATTGGATTTTTGTTTGTTTATGTATAATTTCGTTGGCAGTGAAATCTACTGACCAGTCAACCGATGGTATGGACTGGATTCATATTCATCTTAAAGGGCTATTTTGATAATTTAATTTAAAGTTAAAAAGTTATATTTTAATTTTTTTTAATTATATCATCTTTTTATTTTTTATATATTTTTTCAAAAAAAAAAAGCATCTGAATGCCTCCTTGTCCTTTCATGGAATCCATTGTAAAATTTGCAACCTAAAAAAAAAAAAAACCCTATAAGATCAATATATATGCTTGCATATGATCTGTAACATTTATGTTGTACAATTACAAGACAATAGGTTGGTTAATCATGTACAAAAGCAATAAATTTAGAAATTAAAATTAGAAAAACTGCACTAGAAAAAAAAAAAAGAAAAAAAAAAAGACTGATTTCAAATTCATCATTAAAAGATAGTGCTTGAAGCTAAATACGCGTTGAAAGGATTGGTTCCAGATTCATCTTAAAAGGTAATGCTTTAAGCTAAGGCAGTCGCTTTGCTCAAGTCCAAGATCAGATTGGAATGTGTTGTTGGGCTCGTGAGAGTTCACTATGGGTCTCGTTTTGATAATCCGAACCGTTCAATGTGTAGAACTCGTCGAGTACTATATGCCTGTAAAAAATTACGTTGATCGGATAGCGATAGCTATGTGAACAAAACAGTTTTTTATCAACCGTTAATTTTTTCACCGTCAATTTTTTTTATACAAAACTGATATGATCACATAGCTATTGATATCCGATCAACGTGATTTTTTACAGGCACACAGTACTCGACGAGTTCTACACATTGAACGGTTCGGATTATCAAAACAGACCCAAAAAGGACCCCATGAGCCGGACTGGATGGATCCAGTCTTGATCTCAACTTGAGACAAGCTGGACCCGCTAAGACAGTGGCTTTGATCCAGTTCAAGATCGGACTGGACCGTGCTATTGGGCCTGTGAAGGCCCACCACGAGTCCCATTTTGATAATCCGAACCGTTCAATGTGTAGAACTCGTCGAGTACTATATGCCGGTCCTGTTTTGAGACAAGCTGGACCCTTAAGCTAAATACGCGTTAGTATGGTGGATATTGGACTGTATGCAGTATGGGATTTTTGATAATTGCCTTTCGAATTTGTTTTTTTGTTTTTTATTTTTTTGTTTGATTAATGCTTGGGAGCACTAAAAAGGAAGCACTAGGAGAGCACTAATGAGGTGGCTCTCCTTTTGATGTGATGGTTGTCTCTTGTGTTTTTCTTTTTTCTTTTATATTTTACATTTTCTAACTCATTAGAGCTATTAGTGATGGAATTTTTAGTGGTCTCTATCATTGCTGGTTTTGTTTTTGAATGGTACATAAATAAACAGGCTGTTTTCCTTCGGTCCAAGAGTTGGAGCGGAGAGTGATGTTTGGACCGGCTCGCTACGGAATCTGTTGTAAAATCTGTTGTAATTTTTTTTTTTTTTTTTGATATATTACCTCTAAAAAAATAAGATCGATGAGATTATTATTGTCTATTCTATTTATGGTATTTATTTTTTAAAAAATAGATAATAAATTTATTTTTAAAAATAAATTATTTATTTTTTTAATAATAAACACAATAAATTGAATATGTTATAATTATTTAATGAACTTAAACTTTTTTTTATAAGTATATATATGAAAACTCTCACAAAATAAATAATTTAAATTATCAAAATGAGACCGTAGTGATTCCATAGACCCAAACAGCTCCCCCAATTTTTTTAATTTTTTTTTTTTTTTTTTGATATATTACCTCTAAAAAAAAAAAAAAAAATTACATTGCAAATGTAAAGAATGACTTGTGTACCAAACACAAAATAGACTCTGGCAGGAGGCCAATAACGGTGTAGATTTATTTGCCCAGAAAGCTCTTCAAATGGTTTTCCAGATCGAGTTTTTAATGACTGCCCACCCATCCATGGTGAGGTCAGTAGAACTTGCACATCATAAACATGAAATTTTTAAGACTATCTAATTGCACCCCATGTTAATAAGCTTCAAGACCACTAGCAAACAAAGAAGCAAAGGCTTCAATTTCGTGTTTCTTCAACATTATCCCAATCTGAATCCCACCATCGCCATCTCTTGATTCTGAAAGAGAGAAGGCTCCATTTTTATCAATTGATGTTATCTCAACCTTCCTTGGTCTCCCCCACCCAAAGTCAGTCTTGTAAAGCTCAAAGCGTGGTGAACCTGCAATGCTAAATACCCTGTCCATGTCTACCGAAGCCAATTCAGACAGCCCAACCTCGTTTAGTAGAAGTCTATCACTCAAACGTCTTATAACTTCACCAATTGCTTTAGCTGCCATGGCCACCCCATCTTCTCCTATTAAATCGTTTGAATCTGCATTTCCGACATGAGCCGCAACGCAATTCCCAAAATAAGTTGAAGGGACAGGGGGTTCCAAGCGAGCCCGGCAATCAACGGTGAATCCAAGATGAACTTTCCCTGGCTTCATTTTCAGGGCTTTAACTAGGCAAACCCATACGTAGGCACATGTTACTGTAAAGGTCGATACATGAATGGATGGCTTCTGCATATGCTTCTCTTGCCACTGGCCATTCACCCTCTTCTTCATATTTTCTATGTTTGATCGTGTCAATTGGAAAGTGCCAAGCATTGCATCAGGTGAAACATTCACATCCAATATCATGAGGCTTTTGTTGTTGGATTTACTTACCAAGTTTAGGTAAGTTTTCTCAAGATCATCTGGGTCATCGATAACTGTCCTGTCATAGAATGGAGTCAATTCAGGGGTTAATGTTGAGTCTCCCCCGCGTTGGCAAATGGAAGCCCAAGACTGCATAAACATAGTTGCAGTTTTCCCGTCAAGTACTGCATGGTGTGTGGCGTAACCGATAGAAAACCCAGTGTTTGGAAACAGAGTGATTTGCAATACCATCGCGGGTACTCGTGTGTCAGAGGCCGGTAAGTTGGGTAAAAAGGGTTGAATTTCTTTGATTTCGCGAAAGCTATTGCTCGAGAGATGGTGGAAATCAGCTTCAGACTCGGCTATGGTAAGTGAAACTGCGTCATCGCCTTCAACGTATTGGATAATGGGTTTATCAGAATCTGGAGGCCAGGTCAGACTGCTGGCGAGAGGAAGGTAGTGGTGGAGTGTGAGAGAGAGGGAGTGCTTGAGTTTAGGAAGAACAATCTCTGAGAATGTAGTGCTTGAATAGGAGGCTTCGTAGAAGAAAAGGCGTTTCACGGGAGGCATATTCAACCAAAGCACATCAAAGAACGTAATAGGAAGAGAGGTCTGGGCGGCCGAGTAAGCAGGTGAGCTAGGCGTTGGAGCCACTCTGCAAACCCCAATCACCTTCATCGGATTGGGTGCTGCCATGAGATCAGAGAAACCAAGGAAACGGGTGGTGTGTATACAGAAACTCCACTACTTTATTAATTATATTTATAGTATGAAAAATATTATTTAAATTAATAAATTTAATATATTTTTTTCTTTATTCTTTTTGTTTTTTTGAACCAGATATTTTTTTCTTTATTCATTATCATGATCGGTACATAATAATAAAATTTTAAAATATAAAATAAATGTCGTTATACTTTTTTTTTATTTATACATAAAAGTCATCACACTGATATGGTTGAGTTGAACAAAAAAGGATTTGGATTCTTCCTGGAAACCAACTAGGTGGGGTATGGGCTATTGATCTGATCTTCAAATGTGAGTGAGGCTATAAATAAAGAAATATTTCTTATGGGCCGGCGTGTTGGAAAGAATGCTATATGCTTAATTTCGTCATTACCTCTAATTAATGACGTGACCTACTATGTGAATCGTTTTGTACAGCTATTTTTATTATCTTTAGTCTAATTATGTGAATCGTTGACCTACTATGTGAATCAATATTAGAAATGAGCGTAGCAAATGGGGTGGTAGAGCCCACATGATAGAAATTTTGCCCACGCGATTTGACAGAAAACTCTATAGTTCCGTTTAGAAAGTTGGTTTAAAGGTTACTTGGACTAAAATAACTATAAAAAATAAAATAAAATTTTTAATTTAATAAAATAAAATATTACATCTAATTCATAATTATTATATTATTTCTCTCATAAAAAAGTCAAAAGTTTTTGTAAACATCCTAATTTTGACCGTTCCAAAGACTTAAGCGTTTTCTTTTAATTATCCGATGATGACAATTAGAATGTGTTTCTCACAGAATCATCATTAAGAAAGATGGAATTTGAGCATTAATCTCAACTTTCACCACTTTGGCCAAATTATTTTAAAATACTAAATATTTCATTAGTTTAGTATTTTTGTAATTTTGCATAATTTTACGTGTTTGTTCATATTTTTGGTGTTATTATATAAATTATATTAAATTATATATTTAAGATATTTTATATATTATATTATATATATTATAAAAAAATATAATAATAATAAAATTATTTTGATGTCGGCAGCCAACATTCAAATCAAACTTTGCATAACTTTGCATATATATATACATACATTTATATTTATATTTTTATTATTATTATGTTTATATTATTATTATTATATTATAATATGCCTATATAAGGCAATCAAGAGAAATAAAATGAAAAATGAGGAAGGCTCAGCAGAAGGAAGAAAGAAAAAGAAAAAGTCTGAGAGAATCAAAAGGAGAGGAGAGAGGCTAATTAAAAAGAGAAAAAAGAAAAAAGGAGGAAGGGTCTGAGAATTAGATTAGAGAATCAGAGAGAGAAAAAAGAAGTGGTGTGAGAGAGTTTGGGAAGAGAGAGTGGGAAAATAAAATATTTTTTTTGATATTTTTATTTCTATTTCATCAATACACCATTCAAAAACCAAACTGTAATTCCAAATTTTGGACTGAGAATTAAGAACACATTCCACAGACTTGAGAGTAATCAATAGAAAGTTTGTAACTCAGAAAATTCATCGTTTCCCCAAAAGGTGAGTTTTCGCAAATTTTTATTTAATTTAAAAATATGATATAATTTGTTTAAATACTTCATTTACTTCTTTTCATAACTATTTTTTTTATCGCTTTAATGGAATGACTGCATCACCCACATATCTGCTGTAATTTAAATATTGTATATAAACTGTTGTAATTTATTACTTTAAATAATTTACCCCATCAGATGAATAGTAACTTCCGACGGTGAATAGTAACTTCCGGCGTTGAATAGTACCTCCGGCGGTGAATAGTACCTCCGGTTATTTAATTTTGCTCGCTTTCTATAGCTTAATTTCAGCACTATTATATGCTATTTAGGGGGCTGTTTAATTTATTTCAATGATTTATGTTTTAAATATCAAGTTTGTTTGTACTAACCAATTAATCAACTTCGCATAATCATCTCTGCAACCTCCCTCCATTCTTTGCTTATTTCGATTAAAAAGTTGTGAAAAATTAAGATTGTGGTTCAAGTATAAAAAATGAACTTTTCCATGCTTAATGGTTTAATATCTTCGGAGGTTCAGTACCAAAGGTATAAAACGCTCTATGCTTAATGGTTTAATCTCTTTGGAGATTCACTACCAAAGGCATAAAACGTTTTATACTTCGGAGGTTCATTACCAAAGGTATAAAACGCTTTATACTTAATGGTTTAATTTCTTTGGAGATTCACTACCAAAGGCATAAAACATTTTATGCATATGAGGTTCATTATCAAAGGTATAAAACGCTCTATGCTTAATGGTTTAATCTCTTTGGAGATTCACTACCAAAGGCATAAAACGTTTTATGCTTAGGAGGTTCATTACCAAAGGTATAAAACGTTCTATGATTAATGGTTTAATCTCTTTGGAGATTCACTACCAAAGGCATAAAACGTTTTATGCTTAAGAGGTTCATTACCAAAAGTATGCAACGTTCTATGTTTATATTTATTTTTTTATTATTTATGACAATGGGATCATACACATTATAATTGAAAAAAAAATTGATTGGAAAAAAATTAATTAAAAAAAAATTATTTAGAAAAAAATTAACTAAAAAAAAATTGTTAGTCAAATTTTTAAATTTTTGTTTAAAAACCAACGTAAAATCATTTTTTGAGTTTACAATTTTTTCTCAAACTTATAAACTGAGACGACCATTTATAAACCAAAAAAATTATCAAACAAATTTTTATGATAGTTTTGTAAATTTTTGTAAATATAAACTGAAAACTAAAAATGAAATGGTTACCAAACAAGCCCTAAACAATGAATTCATGACTCATTTAGAGAGAGAGAGAGAGAGAAAGAGAGAGAGAAAAAAAGATGAATGAGAGAGATAAAGAGACGAGAGAGATAGAGAAGAGAGATGAGCGAGAGACATAGAAAGAAAGAGATAGAGAGATAGACCCATTTCATTTTTTGACTTTTTCCTCTTTCAACAACAATAGGCTTAGAGAAAGAAACGAGTGCGATCGAGAGAAATGAATGATTGAAAGAGAAGAGAGATGAGTAAGAGAGACACAGAGAGAGAAACAAGATGAGCGAGAGATAGACAAAGAGATAGAGAGAGAGCGAGAAAGACATCAAAAAGAGATGAACAAGAGATATATAAAGAGATAGAGAGAGAAGAAAGATGAATAAGAGAGCGAAGAGAGATGAGAAAGCTAGAGAGAAGAGCGATGAGTGAGTAAGAGAGACACAAAGAAAGAGAGAGAGAAAAAAAAAGAGAGAGAAACAAGATGAGCGAGAGATAGACAAAGAGATAGAGAGAGAGCGAGAAAGACATCAAAAAAAGATGAACAAGAGATATATAGAGAGATAGAGAGAGAAGAAAGATGAGTAAAAGAGCGAAGAGAGATGAGAAAGCCAGAGAGAAGAGCAATGAGTGAGTAAGAGAGACACAAAGAAAGAGAGAGAGAGAAAAAAAAAAGAGAGAGAAACAAGATAAGCGAGAGATAGACAAAGAAAGAGAGAGAGAGAGAGAGACAACAAAAAGAGATAAACAAGAGATATAGAGAGAGATAGAGAGAGAAGAAAGATGAGCAAGAGAGATAGAGAGCGGAGAGAGATGAGAGAGCCAGAGAGAAGAGTGATAAGTGAGAGAATGAGAGAACAGAGATGAGCGAGAGAGAGAGAGTGAGGCCCATTTTATTTTTTGACTTTTTTCTCTTTCGACAAGTGATTAAGAAAAATGAGAGATGAGCGATTGAAAGAAAAGAGAGAGAGAGAGAGAAAAAAAGAGATCAATCAATCGAGAAGGAGATCGGTAAATTGAGAAGAGGGGAAGGAGAGAGTGAGCAACGCGAGCACAGTGTGGAAGAGAGAGAGAAAGACACAAACAGACAGAGAAACAGGAAGATGAAAAAATGGGTATAGACAAAAACAAAGCAAGGACATAATTCTCATTTTATGAAGTTGATTTTGGCCATGGCACTCGTGTCATTGCCATGAACACTAGATTAAATTTTTTAATGTTTGGGACCCAAAATGATGCCCCAATTTGAATGGTCAGTTTCCTTTTAGGTGGCTTCAAACAAAGAGAGGTGGCATTTCATTTTCACTGGGAGATCCAAGTCCCATGTAATTCAATGTCTACCAAAGAAATAATTTTAACAAAAATACTTAACAAGTTATTATCTCAATTATTATATTTAAATCATGGATTAAAGTAGGAGTTTGGAATGAAAAAAGAAAAGGCAAAGAAAATTGAGCAAAAATTCTGCTTACACTACAAAAATTTTAGTTTTTTGCGATGGCAAAATGTTGTTGCTAATACTTTTAATGCTGTCTCATCAAAACCGTCTTTTTTTTTTTTGCGATGGCACCTATTACCATTGCAAAAACTCTCTTATTTGCGATTGCAGTTCATACTGTCACAAAAAACAGCTTTATTTGTGACAACATAGGTTACCGTCGCAAAAAATGCGCATTATTTGCGACGACAGTTGTTATCTTCTCAAAAATTCATTTTTTTTTTTGTGACAGGAAGGGTGCCGTCGCTAAAAACCCATTTATGGATGACGGTAAGTGGTGCTATCTCAAAAAATCACTTTTTGTGATGGTAAGTGATGCCGTTGTAAATGCTTTCATGTTATAAAACCTCTTTTCTTGTAGTGATTAGAATTCATTTTTGAAAACATAAGCCAAACAAATCCTTAAAAAGTGTACTAGAATTATGCTCTAAACACAGCCTTTGGTTTTTTAGGAATGGAGAGATACGAGAGTTTTGTTGTATGTGAAACATGCACATGTAGTAACAGGTATAAAATTTGAATCTTGCGTTGTTACGTCATTCAGGAGTTTGGGTAAGAAAATTACGTGGATGTATGGTTGTTGCGAGGAGTGTGTTCAAGCCATACAAAAAGTAGAAAAAATTATTTAGAAAATTCTAGAATTTGATGTCATAATAAAATAATTTTTTTATTAATTTATAATCTAATCTTTTAATTTATTTTTAATTTTTAATTT